GCTAAACATACGCAGCGCGCACACGTTTGTATTGGTGCAGAATGAGAGAGACACTTACAGCCTAGCGCATTTCACCCAGTCTGCTAGTTTCACTTCTGCTTTAAATAAAGTTGTGTATGCTTGACGTTTAAAATAAATGCTGTTTATAGTGAATGCCCCTATAATTTTAGTTTGTTTTATATTTGTGATTTAGTTTTAATCCAAATGAATGCGCTAATGGAGCGAACAGCAATCAAGATCATGCAACAGAAGTGCGCGCTCTCGGACTCTCTCACTCTCTCTCTCGCTCTCCTTACCGTCAAATAACTTTAGTAACTTGTGCATTGTTTTACTTACTTGTTTTTGACATATCCGACCGAACTACAAACTTTCCAGTGATGTCTGTGAGATATTCACTCGACAAGTTCGCGCATCTGTGCAGCCGCGCGCTCAATCTACTCAGCGCGCTCTGCTTATCAGCTCGGGCACATCCGCTATACAGGCGTGAATATTGAATGTTTAACATTATATTAATTACTTACATGTACTTCGTAGACATCCTTAGTCTCTAATAACTCCATTCTACTCTCTGTTGTTCTGTTTTCAGTGTTTCTTTTTCTGGACACAGCTCTATTCACAAGCTGTTTGGTATCGGCTTTTGGTATCGGGGCATTTTTACGAGTACGAGTACAGGAGCGAAGTATCGGGCCCGATACCGATACCAGTATCGGTATCGGTGCATCCCTACTTGCTATACTTCATGCTTCAGTACAATAAAATGCTGTTAGTATTTGTATCAAGATTTGACCATATATTAGATTCATTATGGTTCATATAATTTGGTAAAGAGTCATAAGACAAAATAATGGGAGAAAAAAACACATTTCTGGGGCTCTCAGAAGTGAAAATCATCATAGTTGTGTAAACTTTTATAGAGGTTAACAGGAATTACAATACATATTTTTACGTTCTCTTTGGCTCCAATAGAAAAATAAATCATGATAGCATTTCTATGACTTTACAAAAGGCAGAAAAAAAATTTCAAGAGACTGATCACATTGGTCAGAAGAGAGAAGGATGTCAAATTTGTTAATAACTGTGTATACAATGTTAATAACTGTGAATACGCGTTATCACAGTCCATAGTTGAGATCTGGAGGTGGGCTCTTCTAGTCCAGTAAGCAACCACCTCATACCCACTCAGAACACCTTAGCAACCACATAGCAACATCGGTTCCCTAATCTTCAGTCACAATTACAGTTACGTGATCTCAATATGTTTTTCCACAGTTTGAACAGTTTATCTATTGCTTTATCAAACTATGTTTGGTAAGCATCCCCTGTATGTTGTTGTCTACAGTGCATGACAGGGATTTGGAGGAAGACATTGAAGCAGACACCAGTGGGGATGTTAGGAGACTGCTAACATTGCTTCTCGAGGTAAATCCGCTTCATTCTAAATCAAAATGGTTGCTTAGGTCTTACAAAATGACCACTCCGCAGTCCTGAGCGACATAAAGCGCTCGGTGTCAGCCTGCGTTTAGTACCCCTCCCTCTTCCTGCTGTCCCTATAGAGCACTGGAGCTTGGCAGTGCTTCAGATCCCCTTTCATTAGATAAGTAGAAACAGGATTCAGTGACGTGACTCCGATTGGATTTCAAGGGTGTCAATACTTTCTCTCTTGTAGGGCAACAGAGACGAGAGCTACGAGGTGGATGAAGCACTGGCAGAGCAAGATGCCGTCTCACTGTTTGAAGTAGGAGACATTCAACACACTGTCATTTAAATATTCATACGTGTACCTTGGTTTTAGCACACATCTGGAAACATGTCTGGAACGATTATTTTAATTATGTCTGTCTAACTTGGCACAATAATATTAATTGATGCTTTTGAAAGAAATCGGTTATGCTCACTAAGGCTGCATTTATTTGATCAAAACTTTATTGATTATGTTGTAAAATATAATTGCCGTTTAAAATAACTGTTTTCTATTGTAATGTTTTAAAATGTTATTTGTTTCCATGCTGGAAACGCTTAATTTAGCAGACATTACTCCTGTCTTCAGTGTCACATGTTGCATCAGAAATCAATCTAATATGTTGATTTGCTACTCAAAAGAAACGTTATTATCAAAGTCAAAATGTTGTGCTGCTTCATATTTTTGCTGAAACGGTCATAATTGATTGATTTTTGAACATTAGTTTCATTTTTTTAATGAAAGGTTCATAAATAGCATTTATTTTAAATAGAAATCTTGTAACTTTAATGTTTGTACTGTCACTTTTGATCAGTTTAATGCATAAATATTATCTTACTGACCCCAATGTTTTGAACAGTAGTGTATAATATTAATGTTATTATTAATATTTCAGGAATTTAACATTAACAACTAATTTGCATGTCCATGGTTCTCTGATGTCAGTTAATCTTTAGTTTGGGAAACCCTGGTCTTTCTAAACAAACAAATATGTGTGCTAGAACGTACAAATACCTATGAATTGTCGAGATCACCCTGGAATATTTTATGTCAAAATAATGATATTAATATTTAGTCACATATCCAGTTCAATTCCAGTTTATTAATAGATGTTTTAATTTTCTGTCAGGCTGGAGAGGACTGCTTTGGCACAGATGAGTCAACTTTCAGCTTCATTCTGGCCACCAGGAACTACTTACAACTGCAGGTCACATTCAAAGCTTATGAAGCCGTAAGTTTGTTCTGTTCTTAGAGCTTAAGACAGTAACTTATGTACTATATGTATAATACGTTGTGTTAGTTCATGTGTAACCGCTCTGGATTACTTTTAGATTGTATTTCACCTTGTTCTCCAACAGATTTCTGGAACAGAGATTTTGGATGCAATCGATAAGGAAATCTCTGGAACTCTGAAGGACTGCTACACTGCACTCGGTTTGTATTAAACACAGGCTTTGTCCAAAAAAAAACAGCAAATGCAGATTTTTGTTTTATTTTTTCGCATATGCAAATACAGAGTTCTGGCATGAAACTCTAGATGGCGCAGTCCGATAGGTCTAACTCAATCTGACCTAATGACATCATTATCACATGGCACAGCTGATTGGTTCTCTCCTGTATCGGTAGCCAATGAGCTCGCTGCTCAACATTCAAATAAATGACTACTGCTTGCCGTAGCAGTTGCAGCTTGCTTCAGAAAGCCTCCACCTTCCCCAGCTCCACCTGTATAGATCTGCTACGAGGTGTTTCATGTATGTTATATTTGCAGCAGCAGCAATATTTCTTACATGCTCACAGCAGCATGTTGTGGATGTATTGGCAGTAGCAAGTCTTGGTACTTGCTCTGCCGCAGCAGCAGCGGCAGCGTAGCAGATCTATTCCGCCAAGACCAAATACATTAACATTGTCATGTACATTACCATGCCAAT